TCTGCTCTCTGATCAGCCAATCAGGAGCTGTGATACTGCTGAGTCAGCTGCTCACGTCTGAATGCAGGAGGTGGGGGAGAGGGGAGGAAGGAGGGGGAAGAGGGGAGAGAGGGAGAGGAGGGGGAGGAGAGGGGGAGAGGAGAGGGGAGGGAGGAGGGGAGAGGGGAGAGGAGAGGAGGGGGGGAGAGGGGGAGAGGGGGGTGTCTGCAGTGGACTGCAGCAGCATCAGCATGTTAACCCTGAGATGAGAGGCCGAACGTCAGCCTGCTGATGGATGTTTGTTTGTACACTCCTTCACAGACCCCGGTGGGAGGGGGGGGGGGGGTCAGGGTTATAGAACGTCAGGCTGATACACTCAGTGGTTTGGGTTCACAGGTGTAGGATGAGCTGCAGGTGAGAACACAGACTTTAGTTTAATAGAGACAGGAAGTGATGCTCTCAGAGGTGTAATCTCCACCCACACTGCAGAGTCTGTCAGACACACACAGGCTTTATCCGAATTGCCTAGTACCTACTCAATCTGTCAGTAGGCAGTACCTACTATCCGTGTTGTATACTGTTAAGTACCTACTATTCAGTATGCACGCACAGTAGGAAGATATTTGTTTCTACTTTGTCTGATTCATTCAGTAAGGAAGTGGTGTCATTTACGTTACCCGAACCGGCCGCATTCACCTGTTTAATGCTCATATACAGTCAGGTAAAAAATAAAACAATATCACAATGTAAATCAAGTAAAAGACAGATTAAATAACTAAATAACATACAGTATATAAAGAAAAGTACAAATGAAAGACAGTAATATACAGAATATAAAATAAACAAATAAAGACGCATTTAAATAGTGAAATCATTATTTAAATAGAGAGGGAAAGGTTTTATAATAATGCAGACATTTGTTAAATTTTCTGTTAATTAAAAGTAGTGATTTCAGTCGGGACTTTAACTCGATTGTTTCAATTAATCCATGCTCGTTTGTTTTGATTTGGAGGCGTGACGATTTACATTTAATTTCGCACAGCATTGTGGGTAAAATACAATTCATTTCCTGAAAGCACGCATCCGATCTATACTGCATAAAACCCGGAAGTTAGTATCCATACTGAAATGTTCAGTATACTGAGGTGGACCCAAAAAATGCATACTGAATGACCATGAAAGTTCAGTATACTGAAACTCCATACTGAAAAGTACGGCATACTGAACTGTGGATATTCAGAAAGGGCCATGAACAGCAGGTGATGGTTGCTGAGCATGCTCAGTGGGGTCATAAGTCATAGGGTAACCCACTCTCTGTGCTCTAATGAACCTGCTGTTGCATGTTTTCTGTTCTCCAGGATGTTCTTCTCTCTTCAACTACATGTTGCATTGACACATATATTCTCATCATAGAGTCCTATGGAGGACTCTGATGCATCGCCCCCCCCCCGACCTCCTCTTACTCTCTTTCTTTCAGGTTCTTTGATTTCTTCTTCCCCTTGTCACCTCTTGGAAAGGCTCCACCCCTTAAATGCTTTGCTGAAGCTGGTAAAATGGAACCAGATCAACTGATCACTGGATTTGGTCCCCTTCAACCAGCTGTAGCTGTGCATTGATCACACAGAGGACACACATACACACACACACACACACACACAGCGAGGAGAGTCCTGAGAACCAATCAGATCACTTTTTGTTATAAAGATTGATTTTGGGCTTTTTGTGCCTTTAATGCAGAGAGAGGACAATGGATAAAGTTGGAAACCAGGGAGAGAGAGTGGGGAATAACATGTGGAAAGGGGCCATGGGTGGAAGTGAACCTGGGCCTACTGCTTGAGACGAGAGTCTCAATACATGGGACGCGCGCCCTAACCATTGCGCCACCAGCGTGCCCCCAGTTTTTCAGTTTTTAATCTCTGTTTTTATTTCCAAATAATTTGAATGTAAATGTGTGAAATAAAACATTCAAATAAAATAAACAATAAAGTTCATCAACTGTTGTTGTGACTTCTGTTAAACATGAAGAGAGCGCCCTCTAGTGTCCCACACTGAGATGTGAGAGCGGACTTAAACATGAAGAGAGTGCCCTCTAAAGTCCCCCACCGAGAGGTGAGAGCGGACTAAAACATGAAGAGAGCGCCCTCTAGAGTCCCGCACTGAGAGGTGAGGGGGTTTGTTTGTACTCTCCTATAGAAAAATAAAAAGTGACAGAATTAACAACAGAGATATGATATCTCCCTCTAGTGGTGAGAAACAGTCAGTGCACAATTAAACACATGAATTGAAGGTAAAAACATACAAAATATAATATTTGTTTCTCTGTCTTTATTATATTTATATTAGACACAGTTTGCCACATATTTAATTTAGTATAGATCTGACTGAGCAGATAAACAAATCATTTCCAGCAAATGTGTTTTAATCCTTAAATTTAATCACATTTAAAACTTATATTTATTACGGTCATGTTTTCATGACTGAGCGTCTCTTCAGTTGCAGGGTGAACTGTTTCTGCAGCTTCAGTTTCTCTGCTGAGCTGTGATTGGTCCTCAGCTGATAGCGCCACAGCATACCTGTATGAGGGGTGTTTAATGCCATACACAGAATCTCTATATGAGGGTTTTTTATTGCCACACACAGGCTCTGAATGAGGGGCGTGTGGGCCTTATTGTTATAAGGTCTTAATGAGGGACAAAAATGATCAAGTCCTATCACAGAATAAATTGTAACTCCATGTTTAGAAGAATAAGAGTTACATTTTGTGGTTTATCTGTTATGTTCAAATAATATTTATGGATAAATGAACGGGCAAAAAAAAGACACAACGATCAGTTGACGATAGGTAATGTCAATCAGGTTGGACTCTGTAGATCTTAGTCTGGGAAACTCCTAGTGATTACTGTTCAAACAGTTTAACACCTTTGTACAGAAATATCCCCTACACACTCTCATCTATGAGGGTGATCAATGCCACATATATGAGGTAAATACACCTGTTATTTTTTTTTATCTTGGCAGTGTGCTTTAAGGACCTTCATGCTGCCCTCCAGATATACATCTAATAAACATCAATTTGATCAAATACATGACTTGTTTATTATTTATTTATTTATTTATTCCGTCTTCTTTATTATGAAAGCTTATTTATATATTTTATTCAAATAAATTCAATTTAATTAAACATATATATAAACATATGTTTGCATTGCCAAAGCAAGTGTGCAAATAAACCCAAAATAAAGTAACAGAATAACTTGAAATTAAATATCAGTTATGTACGTGCAGATTGGTGCAATGATACACAACGCCGCCCCTCCCTACACGCAGAACACGCGCTGTGCGTAGGGCCTCGCGATCCATGGTGGGCCCCATTTTGCGCAAGGGGACGCATTCTCTGCAAATGCGCAAAGGATGCACATCGCTGGCATGAGGCGCGCGTAGAGCACCAAGTCAAGCCCGAGGCAAGAGAGAAAAAAAAAGAGACGAGTAATCTGACACCGCACGCGTTGCTGCAATGATTGACATCACACAGCATCTGACCAATCAGCGGTCAGATGCGCCGACAGGCAGTTGGATGCAGGTGGAGAGATGGCCTCTAAACGGCAGTATGAATCGGCAGCAAGCAAAAGAAAGGAAAAGTCAAAACAACAGGAGGCTCGTGCTTCACTTGAAGGTGGATATGTTGTTGAAATAAAAAATAAAAACATGGCATAAACACCCCAGCTGCTAGCCTGCTAATCATGAGACAGAAGAGAGGATAATTCTGTCTAGATGTGGACTGGAGATTAAATGTTCCACCAGCCCTGATTATCATTTATTGAATGTCTTGTTAACTACATCTGTTGAAAAAGGAGTAGTTAATTGACCAGTTGGTGGTCTTATGTTGGCTTAGGTTTATAGCCTATCAATCTATGCTATCAATAGAAGTTTGGGGCTATTTTTATGGCGGTAAAATGTCGCCATCTCTTGGTGAATTTAATTCATAACAGTCATATAAGATTAGATAAAATCAGATAAATATAAGATAATCTTTTATTTGACCCACAATGGAGAAATTTAAAGCATTGCAGCATCAAACAGCAGTGTAGGAATATAGAACCTAAGTACAAAATGTAAAAATAAGTATATAAAATTATTTAAATATAGAAATATCATCAAATCAAATCATAATGAATATTATTATTAGTTGTAGTCGTATTTGCGTTAATTGCATTTTAATCTTTGTGAGGCCAGTATTTACATTAATTTCATTGTGTAATTTACCATTAACACCAAAACAAATCTTAATAATCTGCTTGTATGATGGATTTCTTGTCATAACAGGGTCAATGCTGAAGTTTGTTACTAAGGGTGACATGGAGCCAGCGCCCAGTACGTCACAAGGGCCATCAAGCACCATGTCTACTGAAACAGCCTCACCCAGCACGTCACCCGTCATTCATCAAAACATACCTCCGCTCATCAATGGCGCAAGAACGCTTGAGCGGCCTGGCTATCATAAGCATCAACTCAGAAGTGGCACAGCAGCTGTCATGTGACGACCTCATTGATGACTTTGCATCCAGAAAATGCAGACGTGTGCATCTGTAAAAGGCTTGTTCCATTATTGATAGAGGCTGTTCATTTGATTTGTTCCTACTAATAAAGGTTGTAAACCTAAATGGCATTTAGTGATACAGTCATTTTGTAATGGGGGGGGCCTCAAAATAAAATTCTGCCGGGGTGTGCTGGTGGCGCAGTGGCAGGGCACGCATCCCATGTGTTGAGACTCTTGTCTTGAGCGGTAGGCCTGGGTTCGCTTCCACCCGTGGCCCCTTTCCACATGTCATTCCCTGCTCTCTATCCACTGTCTGCTCTCTGAATTAAAGGCACAAAAAAGCCCAAAATAAATCTTAAAAAAAAAAAAATTCTGCTTAGGGCCCCAATTTGGCCAGGGGCGGCCCTGATGATACATACAGGCTGAGACTGTATAGTTCATGGTGTCTCTCTACTAGTGGCACTGATCACCCTGCATACAAAGAGGAGCAGCGCACACTCTCTACCTGCATCTGAACTGAGCAACATTTCTGACCTGGAAACAGACGGAGCATGATGTGAAGATGAGGAGGAGTGAAGGTGTGTCAAGGTAAATCTATCTGTGTGTGTGTGTGTGTGTGTGTGTCTGCTGGGTGTGTGTGTATCTGCGGGGGTGTGAATGCTGCGGCTGCTCTTCATCGTGGTGTCTTCCTCATCATGTCGGTGCAATCAGCAGCGTGATAGCTGCACAGTCTGCTCTTCATCATCTCTATTGCAAAGGGCTGCTGCGTTTTACACACGCAATAACATACACGCATTCGGACACACACACGCAATCACACACACAATCACAAGTAGATGTGCGTAAGGCTCAGCTCTGGATATCAGACTATCTGTGTTTGAAGATAAATGAGGAGACGTAAATAGACAGGCAGCAGAGTGTGTGTGTGGTCATTGTATGTTATTAACTTCCTGTAACTCTCTATCTCTGTAGTCCTGTGGTCTGTTTCCTGTCACATGATAATAACCTACATGCACACACAGACTGTTGCTGCTCAGGTCACGCACACACTTCAGACTGTGAGCTACGCCACAAGATCAATATTTATCATTCTAACAAACAAACGACTCAACAATATTAATAATAAATCATAACAGTAGTACATTATTATCTATCACTCTGTCACAGGAACAGTTTATCCTTACAGACGTCTTCTACAAACTGACTGTTATTGTAAGGACAAACTCTCTGGCTTCTCACTGGGGTTGGTGAATGAATCACCTAAGTGGAGAGTCAGGTGTGTTTGTGGCTGATTGGCCTTGATTAAAGCCAGGTGTGGGGAGATTCATACACATTCACTGATGGTAGAGGCTGCTGTGCAGCATAGGGCTGATCTGGAACATGTGTGTCAGTTTACCTGAAAACACACCTGAGGCCGGATTATCCTCAGTTAAAATAATTCTTTAAAATGGGCGGTCAGCAACAAATGACCAAACGCCTTCTGGAATAAATCTGACGACAGCAAAACGTTAGATTCCTCAACCACGAGCAAAACGAGTTCAACATGGAGGAACAAAATGTTTCATTTACATAAATAGTCGGAGCGTGTTGTTGTTTCTCACGTGTTTATTAATTGTTGATTTCTGTCCTCTCTGTGTTTCTCAGACTCAGGAAATGGGTCCAGGTCTGAGCAGGTAACCTGGATCACCTGAGGACTGAGAGTCTGAGCAGGTAACCTGGATCACCTGAGGACTGAGAGAGGAATGAAAAGTGAATCCTGATCTCTGTTTTAAACTCGTCACTGTCCCTGCAGTTCCCCCCTACTCCTCCCATCCCTTTCCTCCAGTCACCCTCCCCATCACCTCCCCCTCTTTCAGCCCCCCTTCTACCCTCAAACCCCCCTTCCCTGTCAGTCCCCCCTCCTCCTTCAGCCCCCCACCCCCCTGTGTCTGTTAACCCACTCCTCTCCCTGTGGAGATGCCCGTCCTGCTGAACGCCGACGCCTCTTTTAGTTCTAAGCAGGAGCTGTTGGACCTCCAGGACGGTCCTCTTAGGGGGAGCCGGTCTCTGGACTCCAGCCCCCCCGACTCTCAGACTAGTAGCCCGGTGGACTCTGGTCCCAGAAGCCCCTGCAGCCCCGATGGCGCCTTGCGGCCCCACATCTTCACGGGGGCCTCCACCCTGCCTGGTCAGCTATACGGGGGGAGGGGTGGCACCCGAGCAGAGACCTCCCGGGGGCCCGACCTGACAGACTCTGAACAGCTGTATGGGTGGGGAGGGCTGACCCCGCAGGCGCTGCAGGTGTTTAACACCCCCCACTGGGTGCTGCTGTTCCTCTGTGCGGCGTCCTTCCTGCAGGGGATGATCATCAATGGCTTTATCAATACTGTTATCACCTCCATCGAGAGACGCTTCGACCTGCGCAGCTACCAGGCCGGCCTCATCGCCAGTTCCTATGACATCGCCGCCTGCCTGTGCCTTGCATTTGTCAGCTACTTTGGGGGGACAGGCCACAAACCGCGCTGGCTGGGTTGGGGGGTTTTGATTATGGCGCTGGGCTCTCTGGTGTTCACAACACCTCATTTCACCACGCCACCCTACCAGGTCAGCCTTCCAGAGCGCTCGGGACTCTGCTACGCCAATCGCTCCACACCGTGCCAGGACGAGAAGGGGACGGGGCTTTCCAGCTACCGCTTTGTGTTCATGCTGGGTCAGTTTCTGCACGGGATGGGGGCCACACCGCTCTACACACTTGGAGTCACATACCTGGACGAGAACGTCAAGTCCAACTACGCCCCCGTTTACATCGGTGAGTCTTTATTTATATGGGGTCAGAGTGACTTTAGAGTTCCTCCTCCACAGGAACAACCTGATTAAAACACGCACACACACACGGCTTGAAACGGCGGTCTGAACAGGGCTACAGTTCCATATGTTTTTAGATGTTTTAAAAGGGTTAGGGTTAGGGTAACCTCACAGAAAGGCGGTTACTATGACAACAGATAGTGGGTGTGAGCAATGGACACTTTTAATCTTCAGGACAGGGAGTAGATGGAACACACCCTGATGTGTGTGTGTGTGTATTTGTTCTCTCTCCTCTCAGGTATCTTCTACACGGCGGCCATCTTGGGTCCAGCAGCAGGTTACCTGCTGGGAGGTTACTTCCTGAACATTTACACAGAGATCAGAGTGACGTGAGTCTGAGCGCAACCCCTAACCCCTAATTTATAATAAGACTTGATGATAATACAGGTACAGGTATAGGTACAGTTGCAGGTACAGGTACAGGTACAGATAAAGGTGCAGGTGCAGTTGCAGGTGCAGGTGCAGGTACAGTTTCTTACACTGATCCTACACAACTTTTTCACGTCTTTAAACACTCCAATCATATTTATAATAAATGTGCAAACAGGATGATTGGACTTCAGGTTGTGTGTGTGTGTGTGTGCGTGTGCGTGTGTGTGTGTGTGTGTGTGTGTGTGTGTGAGTTTTTTTCTGTGTGTCAGGACTGATATGACTCCAGAGAACCCTCTCTGGGTTGGGGCCTGGTGGGTCGGGTTCCTGGCTGGAGGAGCAGCAGCTTTGCTGATTGCGTTCCCAATCCTAGGTTTCCCCCGCCAGCTGCCAGGTAACACTTGACACACCTGTCCTGTATGACACAGCTGTCCTAGATTACACACATATACATATTTTCTGAATATCCCCCTACAGGCTCTCAGGAGTTGGTGTCGTCGAGGGTCTCTGAAGCCCACCAGCTGAAGGACGGCAGTCATACCACAGCCTCTGACCCTCAGTTTGGAAAATCTGTCAAAGACATGCCCAGGTAAGCCTTACCTGTAGGCAGGATGCAGAGAGCAGCGAGCGTAGTCAGACCGTCAGGTGGAGAACAATCTTCCTGAAGCTGCCAAGTCAGTGACCCTTGTTAGAGACCTGACAGTATTTATATCTCTGATGATCAACAGAATAACTCATTCTGACATCACTTCCTGTCTGAACTACGTTCACCTGTATGGTCAATTTCTGATCACAGAGACCACGCTGCCATCTCCTGTTTGGAGGAGTAACTGCAGGCTGACACAGACCCAGTAATGCTGCTGTAAACAGTCTGAACTTAACTTATCACAACTTAGTTTCCTCCTATCACATCTGTGTCTGCTGTGACATCATCAGTGTGAGATCAGTGTGTGGGATTACAGAGCGAGGAGATAATCCAAACACATGTAACGTGACATGTCTCTGCAGGTCTGTGCTCCTCCTCCTAAAGAATCCGACCTTCCTCTTCTTGTGTCTTTCTGGAGCGACTGAGGCGACCCTTATCGCTGGCGTGTCCACATTTGGTCCAAAGTTTCTGGAGTCTCAGTTCAGTCTGAGCGCCTCAGAGGCGGCGACCTGGTTTGGTGAGCAAACACACAAAGATTTATTTTCTCAGGAGATGTTGAATGCATTAGATATTAATTTTTTATTTGACTTTGTAGAAACAATGTGGTCTTTAATGTGCAGATCATTTTGTTCATACTCGTCTAGTTGTTTCCCCATCGAGTAAAAACCGGAGACAAAAGAGACTCGTCTCTAATGCCACATGTTTTACGTCTTCATCTGGGACTAAACAAAAAGCTCATCTGCTGTTAAACCTTTGAAATCCGAGTTTTACTGCAGATAAGCCGACCCACAACCAGGTTGCTCCTTTCTCCAGAAGATCCATTTCTCAGGGAAGATCTTGAGTCTCCATGCCGGCTTTAATCTTCATCCTCATATCGTCTTGTTTTTATACATTTTAGTTTGAAGACAGATTTGTCCCCAATTAATGTCTTTAACCCCCCCCCCCCCTCCGCCCCCGCCGCTGCCCTTATCTGATGAGGTTGCGAGGGCGTAAAGAGGACCTAGTGTGAACTCTTGTCACCCTCCCCCCCACCAGGATACATGGTGGTCCCAGCAGGAGGTGGGGGCACCTTCCTGGGGGGGGTACATTGTCAAGAAGTTGAACCTGCGCTGTCGAGGAATCATCCGATTCTGCCTGATGTGTGCGACCGTCAGCCTGCTCGCCAACTTCATCTTCCTCATCCACTGCCCCAACCTTCCCATGGCCGGAGTGACTGCCCCCTACAGGTCAGAACGTCTGTCTCAACACCTGCATGACCAGGACCAGGACCAGCCCAGCAGTATAAACAGGTCAGTGTTTGTTGGAGTTCATATAATAAACAGGGAGGGTCTGATTCTTCTTCTGTCCTTATGTCTGCCTCCTCTACACTAGCTTTGTCTTTCAGGCTGTACAAACACTCATCAAGTGTTCAATGTGTCGTCACACTAAGGACTCAGATCTGACCCGATGCTGGAGACGATTCTCCTGAAATCACAAATCAAACGTTTTTAACATTTTAGACTGGTCAGTGTGTTCGCATGGACCTGAGTATCCTCCATTTGATCCGGCTCTTTACGTAACCTGTTTCTGTGTTTGTGCATGTGCACATCAGATCCTGATTCATAAACCAGGATAAGAACTGATCCTGGTTTTGAAGAGGGTTAGGAATGAATGTCTCCATTGAAGAGGCTCATATATAACATGCTAGCTGAGATTGGTTTGTAAGATTCAAACTTATGAAGCTAACTTGAACATGGACGAGGAGAGAGACGACTTTTTGGTGTCAGATAGATTTATTGATTTCTTTGTATCAAACAGTACAGAGACGGGCTAACTGCTTTGTATCTGCTGCTGTGTGAACTAGCGCCATAAAGAGGTACGCACTTCTCACCAGATGACCTCGACCCGCTGACAAAATTACATAGTTCTGAAAACAGGCGAGCGGGGCGCTCTGTGGACACGAGAGAGACCCTCCCTGTTGGAGGTTATTGTTCTGGAGGAGTTACAGAGTGATGTTTTAAAGTTCACCCCCCTCCCCTCCCCCTCCTCCCCTTCCCCCTCCTTTCCCCTGTCAGCAGCTCCTCCCTGCAGCAGTCTCTGTCCGTGGCCTGTAACTCTGACTGCAGGTGTGTCAGGGAGGTGTATAACCCTGTGTGTGGAGCTGATGGAGTCATGTATTACTCCCCTTGTCACGCCGGCTGCAGCTTAATCAACCACACCCAGCACCCATCAGGCAGACAGGTGAACATGCCCACACCTGACACACATTGGTGAAGCTTACGTGCACATTCAATAGAAAAAAAGGTCATCTCTCTCTCTCTCTCTCTCTCTCTCTCTCTCTCTCTCTCTCTCTCTCTCAATACATTTCTAATAAATTTATTGGAATGGGAAACATGCGTTTACATCTCTCTCTCTTTCTGTCTCCAGGTGTACTCTGGATGTACCTGTGTTGTCAGTAATGTGTCTCAGGCGGACAAAGGTTTCGCTCTGGCAGGAAAGTGTAGCAGCTCGTGTCACCACATGCCGGCATTCCTCTTCCTCTTCTTCATCCTCATCCTCTTCACCTTCCTCAGCAGTATACCCGCTCTGACCGCCACACTCAGGTGAGTCCACCAGGTAGAGACACACTCAGGTGAGTGATGATTCAAACATTCACCATCTGCCTCCTGACTGCAGTACTGTGATCGCTCTCTGAGGTGGTATTCAAACTGTTGTGTGATTGGACAGTCGTTGGTGGCCTCACCTGTGACGTGGTGAATATTAACCTCAGTCAGGTTTCCGTGTCCTCTTATTGAAAAATGTCTGTCTCCAGATTCATCAGCTTACTGTTTCACTTGTTCAAGGAAGGGGCTGCAAAAGTCTAAACTTTTAAATTTCACACATACTCAAACCCCTATTCTGAGAGGGATGAGTGAATATCTTTTTTTTTGGCTGTACACAAAAACAACACGTAAAGAAAGTATTGATCTTTATCGTGACCACTGGATACACGTGGAGTCGGGAAAGGTTCTCTGTCACTCCCATCAGTATATATATAGACTATTGCTGTCTCATCTGTGTGTCTCACCTGTCTGCTCTGTACAGGTGTGTTCCAGACAGTCAGAGGTCCTTTGGATTGGGCATACAGTGGATCGTGGTTCGCACATTTGGTAGGTCCCCGTCTTATTTTTCCTGGTTTAACACAGATTCTTTACTTAGGGTCAAGACCAGAATTATAAACTAAGGAATTATTTGAATAGAAATCAAAGAAATAAAGACCTCTTTGATACCGCTCTGCTGTGACGACACCGAGTCAGTCTTCCATGGTGCCGTCACATCCTCGCCCTTCTGTCTCTTTGGTCCTGCCTGTATAAGTGTTTGATTGGAATATTTGCATACCAACTTTTCTTTCTACCGTCTGTCTAATGTCACTGATGCTGGATCTCTACAAAGTTATCGGAATTGCACTCATAATCAACTTGGCGCTTGCGTCCCTCCAACGGAGAGGAAAGTGAAATTCAAGGAACGATTGGAACAAGAGTTATAGCAAGCAATATAAAGACTGAAACAAGCTTCCATAAGGTAAAAGTTCTCACCGATCAGGAATCAAGACACGACCACTTCACAGCAATAGATACAACATCCTTTGCCCGCCAATACCCCCAACAGATTTTTTCATATGGTTCAACACCCAAAAACCAAAAGCCACCCAGTCTGTCTGAGAGGACCTTCTGAAAAGCCCTCCCTTTTTTAAGAACCTACAGCAACATCAACTATCATCAAGATCACCAGAGCCCCAAACACAAATGACTGTTTCATCCCTGACCCGTCACAACATACTTCAAATATGCAGAACACACCGCCAAAGTAGGAATACTCAACGACAACACCTCTGTCACTGAATGTCAACACTCAATGTTACAGTTTCCACAACATGCTCTAACATCCACCTCCAACTGAAAAAAGAACCGGTCATTGACCCCCTGGACTGAACCACACTTACATACACTTACAATAAACTAAACTTCGATGAATATACCATGGGGCCCGATCGGGTTCAACCCGATGAAACAACATGGACTTTGTGTACACTCTGTGTACCCACCACCAACAGAATGGGCATTGGGGTCGGGAGGATTGTGAACCGCAGGCGAAGGCGGTGGTATTGGGGTGCTGATCCCCAGCAGCATAGACTCAAACATTATAATTGGCCTTTTTTAATTGTTTGAAAACAAGTGGTATCTAAAAGTATTAAAGATATAATGACCTGTCCTGTCTCTGTTTGTTCAGGAGGTATTCCTGGACCGATAGTGTTCGGCTCTGTCATCGATCTGTCCTGTTTGCTGTGGCAGGATCAGTGTGGAGAGCAGGGCTCCTGTTACCTGTACCACAACTCAGCCATGAGCCGATACACACTGATCGCAGGCATCATCTATAAGGTCACAATAGTAATAATACACACTGATAGTATGATTTTTATTATCATTCTTTGAGCTGCTGTTGACCTCTTAGCTGGCTCCTACTTGTCACCTGTCCACAGGTGTTGGGGATGATGTTCTTCCTGTTGGCCAGTGTGCTGTACACGCCTCCTCCTCAGTCTCCTCACAGCAGCTGTGACAGCACCGACATCGGAGCAGGAGGAGGAGACCTGAGCGACCTGCCAATCAAAGACCTACCTGAGGACGGAGTCATCGTCAACCTGCACGCCAGGTTATGACATCACAAGCCACGCCACCTAACCTGACTGTTTGTAAGAGTGTGTGTGGGGCTTGACAGCCTTCTGACAGCCATAATGACACACACACACAAACACACAGACACACTAGGCCTGTCCCCGACTAAGTATTTCCAGCCTGATTCATCAGATTTCTCTTATAGTTGAAAGTTTTGTTGTTGTTTTTTGCTCTCTTTGATCCACGTTCTCATTTCAGTTTAAACGCTTCATTAAATGGTTTGTCTTCTAA